TGAGGAATAGCCTGAGCAGTCTCACTTCTGCTTCACGGAGCTTCGAAGGCCTCCATATGGGCTCATACACGACAGCAATCAGACTGACACATCCTCCGAACTCTGCCACCCATGATCATGCACCATTGCTAGAGCTTTTGCCCTCTGACTGAGGAAGGGAAGGTGGGGATTGGAGGAAGACAAGATTAAAGAGCCTGCACATGACAAAATTCCTTCTCATTCTCATGTATGTTGAGCTGAATAATCCTAACCACTTCCTCTAGTCTCAGAAAACTTACCTGGGTGGTATGGACATGACTTCCATGCAGCCAAATGGCCTGAGCTCTTATTTTGTCCATCCTGACCGCATCTACCTCTGTAGACCGAGTTCAGTGCTCTGGATGGTGCCAGATACTGGTTTCTTAAAAGAAAAAATACTGCACATCCTCTATATCTGGCTTGAGAGCAACTTTTCTGGACAATCCAGATGCCTTCTGTTCTCTTTTCTGTTGTGATCTTCTACTTAGTTTACCCATTAAATCACCACCTTGTTCCCTCTGCATCATCTGGAAATACCAGGAATTCTCTCCAGTGGTTTGTGTGGTTTTCTATACCCCTTTCATTCCATAAGGCCTTATATTGATGCAATTTTGAGAGAATCTGTGTGCTTTGGTCTTGACTGAGCCAAAAGTCTCCTTGTTCTAAAGATCATGTGGGAACAGCATTTAAGAGTCACTCTGGAACTGGTGTTGTGGTACGGTGCATAAAGTTGCTGACTGAGACACCAGCATCCTAGCACCAGTCATATCTCAGCTGTTCCTCTTTTGATCCAGCTTCCTACCAACATACCTGGGCAAGCAGAAGATGTCCCATGCCCTTGTGGCCCTGGCTGCACATAGGAGACCTGGAAGAATCTCCTGGCTTCAGTCTCGCCCAGCCCTAGCCCTTATGGCCATCTGGGGAGTGAACCAGCCAACGCAACATCTGTCTCCCCCTCTCCCTCTGTGACTCTGACATTTAAATGAATCAAAAGAGTCACTCATGATTTATTTATTTATTCATTGATCCAACTGAGTCATTATGAGTCAGATATGGTGCTAGGCATTTGGGATACAAAGGAGTGTTCATGAAAGTTAGCACTAGCTTGTGCCACTGGCATTTGGTGAGATGCCCTGTCCCACTCTGTGTCCTTGTTTACATGTCAGCTTAGCATGGGCTTCCAGATCCACAAGTTCTGGGCCACGGCTGAGCCTGGCCATGTGGCTCTTTTCCTATAAACGCTGTCCCTTGCCACAGCTCTCTTTACCCATGAATGATTCAACACTAAAAATCACATCTTTATCCAAATAACTCGATTCTGATTCCAAGTGCTTAAATTAGTTATTGATTATGTAATTTGGCAATAGATTCTTCCATGTCATGATGACCCAATGAGCAATAATCAATCTATCCTCTTCCCAAGACTAAACTCACCAGGTAGTCACCAGCACTCCTATTTTCAGAGTCAGCACTAGAAACCATTCCTTCCAACCAAGGATGTTCCATAAATATGCAAGTGTATGAAAGTAGGCATACATTTCCAGATTGGACAAATTACAGGCAAAGTGTTTGTTTTCATCACAGATGCAAACTGTGATACCTATTCCTAGGAAATTTGTTGCCAAGGAATGGCTCAGCAACTATTCATAGTACATTCACAACTTCATGGTTGTGAGTTCTGTTTCCTATTTTTTACTTGCAGTTTTTCAGATGAAATAGAATAACTGTATGGGCAAGGAGGAACCCTTCACATATAATCAGGTTCCAACTTGGTTGAATGTTGAGAGTTTAGTGTTCTGGTACCTGCATGTCCTAGGGAAGTAAAGACTCGATGGGCCATGTCAGCTTCCTGTTTCCACAGGGGAGGGAGGGGGGCAGGCAAAGGAAGGATCTGTATAGACTTCTTTCAACAAAAGAAATATAAACAAAGCAAATGATTTCAGTGACATGCAGAAATAAGAGAAAGGGATAAAGCAATATATCAAAAAAGGGTCTGAGACCAGGAGACAAAAAAGAGAATGACAACCTAAGATCAGCGTCTCTTGTAAATCAAACGTTTAGAGTATATCTCTCATCTCTTGGGAGTAAATAATTGCTTCAACATCAGTTTCAACTTGATTTGAGCAAGATGCTGGTTGGCACAGTGAAGTGGGTCTTGCGAGCAGCATCTGAAGAAGTAATAAACTCAGTAACTCTAAGCTGAGTGAGCCAATCCCGTTCCCCGCCCCTGGCTATGTCTGACAATGGCTGGTGGTCACGCAGCTTAACACCGTTGAACCTCAGCTTACTCATCTGTAAATGGGAGCAAATAATGCCTTTTTCAGAGAGTTATGTCAGGTTTTAAACCAGATAACACAGTAGGTCTTCAGTACTGATCATTTTCCCTTCCTCTCCGTGTACTATTGTCGCAATAGATGATTGTCAGAGAAAGAGTAACAGACTACATCAGAAGGAATGCGAGCTAAAAAGAGTAAAGACATTTTAATAAATCAAGTCCTTGGGATTTTGAAAAGATGAACTCACATGCTGTAGGTCCGCTGACCAACAACAGAATGTTCAGCAATAACACTGAGATATGTTTACGGCAACACGGCTGCAGATACCAGCTTTGGCCCCAGGTGGCTACGGCACATTTGATATGTGGCTGGTGAAACCCCAACTTTTGAATTTTATTTGCTTTTAATTACTTTAAATAGTAAATAGTCACACATGGGTAGCTTCTGAATTGGATAAGGTCCCTTCAGATGTTCATGATCGGAAGGCTTCCCTCACCAGTTTGCACATAAGAACCTGAGTTTAAGCACCAAGGCTCTGAAATCAGACTGCCTGGGTTCAAATCCCGAATGTGCTCTAGACTGATCTCATGTAAGCTGCTTGGGCCTCAGTTTCCTCATCTGCCAAGGAGGAATGCCTAAGACACCATCAGCTTCAGAAAAGATGTTAGGGGGAATGCAAAGCTCCAGAAAAAAAGCTTCAAGGGCATCAGGGTGGATTCTCCTACGACAGCAACGCTCACACTTGTTGATACTATGCATTCACGCCTCTGCTTTACTCACATAGGCTGTGTGCACTAGAATAACACCAATGTGAAGCACCGTGCCTGGCACATTTGTGCAGGAAAAAGAGAGGAAGGGAGATGGAAAGAGGGGAAGAACGAAGAATCAATGCAGCAGGCAGTAAGATTTTTCCTGAAGAGTGAAATTGTTGAAATAAATAGGAATGCCTTCATCAAAAACTTCAATGGAGATGGACTCTTGAAGATGACTATGGAACATGTTACTCAGGAAAACACACTTCCCAGTGAGACTTAACAACTCTCGGGGGAGGGACAAGGAGAGAGGCAGGGTGGTCGACGTGCAGGCTTCTACTGGCTTCCACACTTGAAAAAGTACAAACTGCAATTAAACCTTTCAAGAGAAAAACAATTGTGGCTTATATAACTATATTAGTTCATGTAATATTCCCATCCAAAAATTACTACAAGAAATATAATCTTGTTTCACCAGGATTTCCATATCCGAGTTTTTATATATTACATTCACCAGTCCCTTCTCCCCCCCCTCAAAAAGCAGTGTTAAACAAGTTTTCATAACTCTTTATTCATTATAAATAGTAAATATTTACTGCACTTTTTACATGAAAGACATTTTTTACAACACATTGTTGTTGGTTGAGGCTGCAACACAGATAGTATTTCTTCTGGTCCATCATCCTCTAAAACCAATGCATGAACTAAACTCGCTACTATGTCTAGTCTCACTAACTCACTACGTCATAGTTCTTAACGCTAAAAGGAATGTATTTGTGCCTACCTCACTCATGGTTCCAAGAAAGAAATAAATAACACTGCCTTCCACCTTCTCGTTCAGCTTAATATTTCAAAGCATGAATTTATTGACATTCTAAAATGTCACCACACAAATGTATGTAAACCTCAGCTCCTATAATCTTTCAGTATTGGATATCATTGTATAATTTAAAAGCACATGAGAGCCACATGGAAATTTCTGTTTGTGCCCTGCCTTTTGTAGGAAAGAGAAGAATGTAAACGTCATCATTTAAAAACTATTATTCTCTGACAGTCTCTAACCAAAAGGAGCATGCCAAGTGTTGGTTGTCCAGCAAATGGCAAACATCACTGCATTCCACCATCATGAGTTACAGGCTATGAAAACAAAAGCACCTGCAAAAATATACTTCTGGATTAGTTTATATCACCTTGGCCATGCCAAAGCATCTGTGAGGTACACAGTATTGCACACTGATAAGCGGATGTGTGACTGTATGTCACTTCTTCTCACCATGCCCTCACCACCACTCAGATTGACTTCCAAATGAACACGGTTGAGAAAAATGCAACACACCTCTCCCCACACCAGAAAAGAAGAGCCACTTTCCTCCCTAGGATCCCATATCCTGCCTGGGCTGCATACTGACAACTAGATTACAAATGAGCATATAATAACAAATAATTTACTTTGGAGGTCCTTTATATCAAGCTTCCTAAAACGGTGGCATTTATTTTTATATCAATTTCCAGTGTGTACAAGTTAAGGAGTCCTCCATTCTTGCTTCATGAAGGAGCAGTTTTGAAGTTGTAGAAGCTTCTGACTTGGACATCAAATATGTGAGAGGGTGTTCTCCTTCTGTAGCTTAGAAGTCCTGGTAAATCTCAGATACACACACACACACACACACACACACAAGCTCACACACACACACACACACACACACACGCACACATATGGAATGTTTAGGTCCTCGATCATCAGCACTAAAGAGCTGGGATATTTTGAAATATAGCCATGCTAATCATTGCGTTAAAATGCTGCATTTGTCTTTTATTGCTCCACCTCATCCTCTTCTCCATCGCTTCTGTCCAATGTGTTGGAGAGAATCTGAAACCAACTACTGGAGAAAGAAAATCAGTCACTCTTTGTCTCCTGTTGGCACTGCCCTTCCCCAAAGGGCTGCTGTTTTGTTTTGCTTTGTTGTTTTGTTTTTTCTGAGAAGATTCTTCATGTCTAAGCTGTAGAGACCAGAAACAGGGCCGGTTTTCACTCCAAGTGGACAGTTCACTTATGCAATATCTGGCTTGAGATAATGAAAGGCACCTGTAAGAAAGCACATGCAGCTTTTTAGGTCACGCCGGGACAATTCACAGTAAGGGGCAATATCAGCTACAGGCTGACAATGTCATATTTAATACCATAGTATCAAAGGATCGAGACTAATATTTTTATTCCTGAGACAAGTTTGACACAAGTCTGTGTCCCTGGGATTACACTCCATATGATCCTTGAGCTGACCTCATTAAAAACATGTGTTTCCAATGCCAGGGGTTATTGCATTTGGGCCAGCTCTTGTGTTTTACCTCGTGGCAATCAGCTTTCACGTCTCAGCAATTAATAACTGCAAGATGTTGTTGACATCAGCTAAGAAAATAATTATACAAGGAGGCCTTGCTGGAGCATTTGGCTGGCTTTGCAACGGGAACAATCCTAGGAGGTAAGGCTTAAGTCTGCCTCTGGTGCCCCCTCTGAAGCAAGAGTTGAATGTATTTCCTCTCCAGGAGAAGTCACCCCCTAGAAGTTCAAGGCTTACTTTGTCCATACTGCCCATATTGGTAGCCTGTGACAGGGTCCATGCTGTAGCCTGTGGTGCTATAGGTGGGTGGACAATAGGACTGAGATGTTGGCAGACTGTCCAAGCTCTTCATGTGGTCTAGCCTCTGACTGCAGCTGGCTGACACGGCGGTGGTTGGTTCCAGGCCCCCGGTGAGAGGAGAGAGCGCATAATCTGTTTGAGGCTGATGAGGTACCCCACCATGGTTGGTCAGAAGTCCCATTACCTGAAACACACAGGCGGTGGAAAAGAAGTTAAAGCTCAGGGTGAAACAGAGTAGCCTGTAGCTACAGTAACAATTGAACATTCCAATTCCCTTTTCTTTGGAAATCTGTTTAACTGTTGTCTGAAAAACTGGTCCTTCAATGCGAAGCGACAGAGCTATTATACCATTCCCAGTGATTAACATCTGACTGCAGTTTCAGTAAAAGAAATGGGGGGCAGGGAGGGGAAAGGGAAAGAAAGGAAAGGAAGAAAGGAGAAGGAAAGAGTGGGAGAGAGATTACAATCATCATGTCTCCAGTAACAAAATCAGGCTGGAATTTCAGAGAAAGAAGCGATAAGAGAGAAACTCGTAAAGAAAATATATGTATGTACGCAGACCTAATCCATCACACCTCCCATCTGCTAGTTTTACACGTGACTTTAAACAGGGCAATTTTTTAAAAAGTTAGTTAAATTCTAAATCAAACTCTTTTTCCATAGGTTTTTAAGACCCCCGTGTCTTTTTTTCATGGTCCCCTTATCCCGGCAATTCTTCAGTAGTTATAACCAGTTCCTCCATTCCTGTGGTCCCTATGGTTTTCTTTGCCCTCTCATGGTGAAATCTCTATTTCTGCCTCCTATTTTAATTTGCATGAGTTTTGGGAGAAGTAATCCACTCATTTTCAGATCCTAGCATCTAACACAGTGGTTGGTACAGACTGGGTGTCAAATGAGTAAATCTAAACAATCTCCAAGTGACAGCCGTCATTATTTATCCTTTCATTTCTTCTCTGAAACAACAGTTGTGATAAAGACATGTTAAAAGGAAGGACAAGCCTGAATACAAACATGTTCTCCAAAGTTCAGTTTTATAAATAACCCTGGAGGGTAAGACAACTTTAGAAAAACAACATGGTAACAGAACAACTTTCTGATCAGCGCAGGGAATGTTTTGCAAACTCAAGCTCCCTGGCCTGACTGATTTTGCAGCTGGAAAACTGCCACACAAGAGAGAAAGTGATTTTTCTTTCTTTTGTGCAACTCCATTGCAGGAAAAACCTGTTGCTGTGTGAAGAGAAACACAGAACACACCTCCTTAAAATGCAGGGCCCCTAACTGCCCAATGTTTCCAGAATAATTCTAAATAATAGTTTATTTGAGGAAGCTTAAAGTCAATGAAGCAGGTAGAAAGGACAAAAAGAAAATAGCCCTGACTGTAGGTGCTGGTACTAATGGCAGAGTATCTCTTGCTCAAAGGTAAATTCAGACCTGGATGTAAGAATTCCAGCAAATGGGAGCATTGGGGATAAGGATGAGGGACTGATCTGACAAGCCAGAAACTCTCCTAATTCCCTAATTCAGATTTTAGAACCAAGGAATCTGAAACTGAAGTCTTTTTAAAAAGTTACCTAAACCCTCTATTAAGCTCTTTTTCATATACTTACATATGTATATATATAAAGCAAAACAAATATATATGGCAGAATTAGAGAGGGGTGGGGAGAGAAGCAGAGAGATCTTCCCTGTACTGGTTCACTTCCCAAATGACTGCACAACACAGAACTAGTCTGGTCCGAGGCCTAGAGCCAGCAGCTCCTGCTGGGCTTGCTGCATAGGTACAGGTGCCCAAGTACCTGGACAGTCTTTCAATGCTTTCTCAGGCCATTGGCAAGGAGCCAGGTTGGAAGTGGGGCAGCCAAGTCTCATAGCAGTGATTCTAGGGGTTTCTAGCAATACAGGTGCTAGCCTGCCTGCTATAGCACAACATCAGCCCCAAGCTAAAGCTGAGCTGCAGTGAGCTGAAAGAGAAAAGCAAAATACTGCTTCCTATTTCTTTCTCAGTGTTCTTCCCCAGGGACTTTCCTTTAAGTGTGTGTGTGCATGTGTGTGTGTGTGTGTGTGTGTGTGTGTGTGTGTGTGTGTGTGTCCGTGCGCCTGGAAACGTGGACCAGGGTAGGTAAAGTGACAGATGTGACACAGTGATGCCAAGATTTTGACAGGCCCAGGAGATCTAAATTTTCTTGAGATGAGTAGTGAAATATCATTGTTAACTCCGTTAAGTTAGTTGAGTTCTAAAATAATCATCATTTGCCACCGAACACAGTTTTGTTTTGTTGGGGATTTGGAGAAAGTGAACGTCACAAAATAAAGAATCAATAAATAGGACTGCCAACTCCATGAAGATACAAATTTGCTAGAATAGAGGTTCTCCATGGGCTGTAGACTATTGACACTGAGACAATTTCTTCTCTCCCTCAGTTTAAATCCTGGAAAGCAGCTAAGAGTACAGTGACTATTCCCTAGATATTCTGCATTGGACTGTTTTCCTTCTTCAATTTTCTTCGAGCATATGCAGATGATTTTGGAATGTAAACTTGGAAAATTCATAGATTTCAATTGATATACTTATTTACACATTATTTCATTTCACCCCAAATTAATGATATGTATTAGAAAGTCTTTAAGCGGGAGGCTGTTCCATGCCAAGCACACGCCTTTTTAATCAGGAATACATTTTTGTGTGCCAGGCAAGAATGAAAAGGAAAAATAAATGAAAAATGTGACTTTTTCATGAAAGGGGACAGTAACACGAGGAAAGCCTCCTACTGGAAATCTACCACATTTACTGAAAAATAAGTTTTTGGAAAAAGCAACTGTAACTGCAGAAGCTCGGAGTAGAAAGGTAGCAAAGAGTGGATTAAAAAGGAAATATATTTTAAATTATTGATGTCCTTCATTAAGACACTTATTTCAAACTCAGTTAACAGCAAGTCATTTGGGGGCAAAACTGATATTCTATGCGCAACTAGGAATTGAAATTTTAGAATAAAATGTTATTCAAAATATGTACATTATTTGTGAATTATAAGTATATTTTTAAATTATTTTTTAAAAATCCCTGGTCATATATTTCTTGTATACATAATTTTGAAGGCAGCAATAACTTGTCTGTGAGAGGGTAGGATGGGAGACAAGGCAACATGAAGATCTTATAGGAGAAGAAATAAGTTCTTGCTGTGAACAAATGTTAGCTTACAATGACCAGATAAACTGTCTCAGTTGCCGAGTCAGAAAGCTATCAGGAGAGGATTTAACTTCACAACTTTAAAATAGTTCAATAGATAATGGAAAAAGATACAGTCATCTCAGCAGGATCATATTCTAAGGCAAGAGAAAGAATTCCTCAAAGATTCCACGGCGGAATGCCTTTCAGACATCCCCGCAGGTGACCCAAATCACAAGTGTACCTTAGCAGCGGCTCAGCACCCAACATTTTGAGTGTTGAAGGATAATGTGAGGGAACCAAGAGAACCAGGGTGGTGGTTTACTTTCCCTGAAAAATCCTGGGACGTGGACTTTTCTTCCACATGATCATGTTCCCACTGCTGTAAACATTTATTAGAATCACGCTTTCAAGAATTGTATAGGGAAAGGGACAATGAGGCACTAACGTTTTCCTACATTTGGTGTTAAATTGGGATGAGTAAATATGACGTCACTTGTGGCAATATTGCACACTGAGAAAACTTCAGAAATATAGACTTCTTTAAAAATTTGTCTTTTAAAACATTTTTTTAAAGTGTGTTTGATGGAAAAGTGAATTTATCAATAGAAAAGGCATTACTTTTCACTGGCATAATTTAAAACCTCAAATCTCTGTGGAAGGGTCCCATTACACTTTCATGTATGTTTCTTTAAGAGCTATTTTGTGTTTCATGTGGTTCAATGGAAGCCGTGGAAATTTCTTTTGGTGCACAAAGAAATTGGTAAACAAACTTCTTAGTATTCCCTCGGTACAGCTACGGAATGTCTTCCAGTCATACTATCTTTTCAAAAATATGTCAGGATTCCTTCTCTTCATGTTTTTCCTACATCAATTTATTGTTTAAAGTCTAACCTAAAATCTTAATTTGTTGTAAGATGGATTTTTCCCCTTCTTAAACCATGAGAAAGCTATTTCTACTACCAGGATGTATTTTGTACCCCATGCCTGGTTAATTGGGAAAAGCAGGAAGTACAATTGACTGGTTTTTCCCCATTTCCAAGGGGGAAAAAATAAATTCAAGACCACCTGAATACTGACTGCATTCTCACTAGGTTCAGGAGACGCAAGGACAAGAATTTTCCTCGGGGAAAAAAAAAACCCTCTGTTCTGTCCCATTGCTAAAGAAAATGAAATGTGCATTTTCTTTTGAGTTTTGTACAATTTTTGGGTGATACATATGAAAAATTATTTTTGTGAATAGATTTTAAATTTGCATTTCCAAAATGTTTCCCACACGCCATTTTTAAACTGTTTTATGAACAAACTTTAAAAACACATCCAGAGTCTTAGAACGCTGTGGTCGCACTTTTTTGGCGTTTTTAGGAACATTTTCAGAAGGTCTCTGTAAATTCATTCTCAAGTTTCAAACTTCCCAACAGATTGTTTGCATCTTGATTGAAGATTACATGGTTCAGGAAAACTAACTTTACAATTGTTTCATGCCATGTTTCTCTTGAATTAATTTTTCTATTCTAAGATTAAATATAAAAGAGAAAAACCATGGACAAAATTCAGATTTACATTTGAAACAATGTCTGGAAAAATATTTGTCTTGGCACATGCATTATGGTTTGGTGGTCAGTTGAAAGTCCTCAGAGTTTATAAGAAACCTAAAATGATTTACAAATTATTTTGTACATCTAGAAGCTTCCTTTTTCCTTAGATGGAATTCTGGTTCCTTTCTTTTCTTCCTTGTTCTTAAGTAAGTTCTTCTGATTTAACATTTAATAACATACACTTTGCTGGTATTTAAAAATGTTTTTAATTATAGGACTTTGTTTTAAGCTTTGCAACCGTTCCTCCAAAAGTTGACTAAGTCAACTTTTTTTTTTATTTGAATAGACTTTATTTTCAGAACCAAACAAAAAATTAAAATGTTTATTAAATGTCTTTTGTCAATTCCAGTGTTACGAGTTAACGAATGGTTAAATTTCAGAGACTGCCTTTTTGAGGCTGAAAAAGCCTGGATTTAAACA